CTGTGTCTCTACTGTGTCTCTACTGTGTCTCTACTGTTTGTCTACTGTGTCTCTTCTGTGTCTCTAATGTGTCTCTACTCTGTCTCTTCTGTGTCTCTTCTGTGTCTCTACTGTGTCTCTACTGTGTCTCTACTGTTTCTCTACTGTGTCTCTACTGTTTGTCTACTGTTTGTCTACTGTGTCTCTTCTGTGTCTCTACTGTGTCTCTTCTGTGTCTCTACTGTTTCTCTACTGTGTCTCTACTGTTTGTCTACTGTTTGTCTACTGTGTCTCTTCTGTGTCTCTACTGTGTCTCTACTCTGTCTCCTCTGTCTCTACTGTGTCTCTACTGTGTCTCTACTGTGTCTCTTCTGTTTCTCTACTGTGTCTCTACTGTTTGTCTACTGTGTCTCTACTGTTTGTCTACTGTTTGTCTACTGTGTCTCTTCTGTGTGTCTACTGTGTCTCTACTGTGTCTCTTCTGTGTCTACTCTGTGTCTACTGTGTCTCTACTGTGTCTCTACTATCATTCTCTTGTGAATCTACTGACCTCAGATAAATCAGTGTCTGTGTGTTTTTGTGAAGGTGCCGTGGAAGGCGACCCGTTCTGGGACGGGATCAGAGACGCTCTCCTGGGTGAACCGTCCAATCAGACGCAGGAATGTCATCACCCCAAACCAATCCTGTTCAGCACAGGGGAGGTGAGGACACAGGTGAGAGACACCTGGTGAAACACCAGGTGTCTCTCCTACAGGGACCGATCACACACTTCCTGTAAAAACGATCAACCATCAACACACAAAGCTGCTCTACATGTTCATCAGCTGTGACCCTTTAACTGAGACAGGAAATCATCACATCAAAGCACTAAACTGATAGTTATAGTTATCAGATGTGGAGTTGTGTGAGGTCGTCATGTTCAGTCAGTGTGTTTCCTGCAGTGGATTCAGATTAGAGCAGCAGGAGGACCGGTACACTAGCAGAGTGATGAGCTGCTGTGGGCGGGGCCAGCAGAAAACACCTGTTTTAGACACTTTTAAAAGATGCCCACTGAAACAATCCAACATCTGTTTAAATGAAGCTTCAAGGAGAATATTTTTAGCTCTTTATCTTCCCGTCAAAACAAAGTGAAGTTTACCTCATTCTGATTAGCTCAGCTGACCTGTGGCTGTGGCGTGATACAGTGCACACTGTAGGTGCATTTGTGCGTAGGTATTTCAGTGGTTGAAAAAATGTAGTGCCAAAGTAAAGTGCTGTTCTGACAGGAAAATAAAGATGAAAATATTATACTGAAGCTTTTCTCTGAAGCTTCATTTAAACAGATGTTGGATTGTTTCAGTGGGCGTCTTTTAAAAGTGTCTAAAACAGGTGTTTTTTGCTGGCCCCGCCCACAGCAGCTCATCACTCTGCTAGTGTACCGGTCCTCCTGCTGCTCCTCTAAACTGAATTTACTGCAGGTAACACTCTGACTGTACATGACGACCTCACACAACCCCACGTCTGATAAACACAACTATCACTTTAAGGTTCAGGAAGAGAGGTTTTTGGTGGTGAACGAGTTCTGTCAGTGTTTATGTCGACAGATTGACTCACTAGAAAAAAAAAATGATTAAGAACATGGAACAATCTGAATTAACTCTCCAGATCTATGATGACTCTGGTCAGCATGGTTACATTTAGTGTGTGTCTGTTTGTGTGTGTGTGTGTGTGTGTGCAGATGAACTGGCCTCTGCCCTGGCACCCTCAGATTGTCGACGTTCAGATCATCACCATTGGATCAGTGGCGGTCGTAGCTGTTCCTGGAGAGATGACGTAACAACACTTCACTCACACCAACGATAACTTCACATGATCATACTATTCATACAACTGATGACACTACAGGTCATCAGTTGTTATACTACTGATGATGGTACAGTTAATACTAACTCACATGAACCACAGGAACTTCCCATGTTTTCCACATTTGATCACATGTCACATGGTACCACAGGTTGTAACACGTCATGAATGCTGCAGGTTTTCAAAGTTTCCCCACAACATCTTCAACAAGTGACTTTCACATGTACATGTGGTCACGTGATTTTGTACATGTGAAATTCATGTGGTTTTTCTGTAAGGGTAGTCTTCTACCTCACCATAGTGCTGATCCTCTAATTAATAAAGATGTAATAATAATAATTATGATATTTCCATCATATGATAAAAACAGCTGTACTGCCTCATCTTAATGTTCAGTTCAGCTTCTTCTTCAGGAGAATATTAATTGTAAATAAACACATTGATTTTTTTAAAGTTTAAGTTAAAGTTTTTTTTTTTTAAAGTTTTCAAGTTTAAATCAACTGTTTCCAGATCAGCAGCTGAAACTGTAAAATCAGCTGTTACCATCACTTCATTTTTATTCAGTGTGTAAGTTACACTCAGTATTAACTTCAATTTCCTCACCATGGCAACCGCCCAAACCACCTCAACCCTCATGACACATCTTCATCCTGACCCTGGGCAGCACCATGTCGGGGCGGAGGTTAAGAGAAGCTGTGAAACAGGTGAGACACAACATGAAGACAAACATCATCTCACCTGAAACACGTAAGCTGATGTCATCACTGTGTGTCAGGAGCTGCAGGTGGAGGGGGCGTTCAGGGACATAGAGGTTGTGATCGCTGGCCTCAGTAACGTGTACACTCACTACATCACCACCTATGAAGAGTACCAGGTACACAATAGCTAAGGCTCATGGGTATTGTAGTATTTAAAGCCTTCCACCAAACTGTGTCCTGTTAAATTCTCCAGGAGAGAGACTGACTTGTTTCTGGTATTTTACAGGTGCAGCGTTATGAAGGAGCCTCCACCATCTACGGTCCGCACACGCTCAGTGCCTACCTGCACAAGTACCGAGGTCTGGCCAGAGCCATCGCACAGGTGTGTCTGAAAACATGGAGGCTCCTCCTCTAGCTGTCAGATAACTCACCTGCTGAAGGAGATGATCCTTTGACTTTTTAACGAGTAACTTTTAATATTTAATGGTGATTTGGAAATAAAGTAAAACTACAAACAGCCTGTAACGAATATTAATAATATTAGTGATAAGTGATAAGTTTTTGCTTACACCTAACTTACTAAATCAATGAAAACATTCTACTTCCTGTTTACATATCCTGAAGCATTATGGGAAGTGTAGTTCCAAATCTTAGAGCAAGATTGCGCCCAAAATAAAATTAAGACAAATAACAATAATAATCTATGGAAGCATTTTTTTATCCTGTTATCTCCGGATAACGAAGCTCATTATCCAGAGATAACAAGATATTACCAGGAGAAAATTATGTTTCGTTAGATAACAAGTTAATTATCACTTTATCTCGAGATAGCAAAACATCGTTTTCTCCTAACAATATCTCGTTATCTGGAGACAACAAGCTTTCTTATGTTGAGATAACAGGATAGAAAAATACTTGTGAGTATGGCCTTTCTCAGGTTCCATACCAATCGATCTGACAAAGTCTAACTATGATCTAAATAAGATCTTTCTTCTTGCAGTGTATTTCTAACAGTGTGAAGCTCAAAGCGTCTCAGCACGGTTCTTGTATTTCTGTCACACTAACGGTAATACTATGGTGTTGCTGTTGTATTTCCAGGACAGAGTGTCGGAGCTGCCCGCTGGCCCTCAGCCTCCCTTCTTCACAAAGAATCTCTTCAATCTGCTGTCCAAGGCCCCTGTTGACAGAAAACCAGAGAACACCAGCTTTGGAGATGTCCTGCAGCAGGTGTACCCCATCTACAGACAGGTAGGACACACAGGTCCTCTAGTGTCCCTCAGGGCTCGTCAATTGGCTCAGGGTTTGGGTTCGATAGCACTTTATCAAAAACACTTATCAAATCTAAATCCTTATTGAATCTCAATATCTGTAATGACGTGTCAATAACTACAGTTATAAAATGAAGATTAAATTCAGATCTGTGGTCAGCTACTAAGTGAATCCACAATAACACCAATGAAGCTAATTAATGTTGACAACCTGAACATGAGCTGAGCAGCAGATTTGTTAGAATGAATCTGTGATCAATCTCTACGCTGATGACACTCTGCGGTTTTTATGTGAACATACATGAACTACAGTTTTTTCATGTTTCAGGGTGATGTTGTCTCCATCACATTCGTAGCAGGAAACCCCAGACATTCTGGAGACATCGTAAGAAAAACTGTCTTTGTTTATTTGTCTCTTTGTTTGTTCGTTGTTTTATTTCTGTTTTATTTCTTTTCTTCTTCTCTAACCTCCTCACTCTTGTGCTTTATTGCAGAGAGATAAAACTTTTGTTACCGTGGAGATTTATGACAACAGAACAGAAACCTGGGAGGTTGTGCACACTGATGCATCATGGGAGACTAGGTAGGTTGGTGTGTAGATGTGTACAGATCCTCAATACCACACTGCAAACAAAAATACTCAGTTACAAGTTAAAGTCCTGCACTACACTCATGCATGAAACAGTATTTTACTGTTGTAGCTGGATGGTGTGTAGCTGATTCTTAACTACACCTAATGAGTATTTTCATTATGTTTTAATCTGATTTGTTTGTAAACATTCACAAAACAGTGAGAAATTAGGCTACAACACAATTGTAGTGGAGTTAAAGTAAAGTTAAAGTTAAAGAAAAGTACAAATAGAAAGTAGCATGAAAAGAAAAAAGTTGCTCATGGTTTAGACTCAGGAGACAGGAGGCCACGATTCAAAATCTTTTTAATAAAATGTGTCAGCTCCTGTGACTGAGACTGGCCTCTCTCCTTCAGTTGTCTCTGAGGACATTAAACGACGTCTCTTGCTGCAGGTTTCAGTGGCTGAAGGGTTCGAACCAGCGGAGTAACGCCACAGTCGAGTGGCACATTCCCCCGTCGGCCCTGAGTGGCTCCTACAGGATCAAACACTCCGGACACTACAAACAGATTAAAGGCCTGCGACCCGTGATCACGCCATATGAAGGAGTGTCTGACATCTTCACAGTCACTGCCAGCTTTTACTACCATTGACATCACCAATTCCAAAGACCAGCAACTCCCAGGACGTCTCTGGGACATCTCCGGGACTACCTGTAACAACAACTTCTGAGTGGGATGCTCAGACCGAGGCTCAGATTGAAAGGACATTTTGTAAAATGAGTTACTATGTATAGTAATTTACATTTAAAGTCTGGACAATAATAAAGTGTTGATTATTATTCAGAGAAATAAATGATGATAAACTTTAAATATTCAATATGAAAGAATCGTTCTGCTTGTGTCTCTTTAATGAAGCACAGCATCAGTCTGGGCATCGCACTGAAGTTGGCCTTCTATTGGCTGATTAGCACCATGTGTTTGAGGGGTGCTTCACGGCTATGTAGCCACTAGCGTCCAATCATTTCATTCCAGTGCACAGTGCTGATATTACCCCGACCATCATGCTCATGCCCACTCCCCCCCACCACCCCGACCCGACCCCCTCCTCCTGAGGGCTGATGTTGATTAAATGCTGGCTATAGAAAAATGATAGAATTGTGTTAATATCAAAAATATTTATTTGAACCTTGTTTGTGTAGAAATTCATGAGGCAAACCAGAATGACACAACACAGGGACGATGTCGTCATCACAGCATGAGTCCACATTTAACTGTCAAGCATGAATAAGGTCAGAACATCGACAGCCTTCAACAGCTCAGGGCAGGAAACCGTCACCACAGACGTCAGGAACACGCTGAAGGTGAAACTACAGCTGAACCGTTTTCCCTTTTACTTTGTGATGAAACTCATCTTCGCTGGTTTTGAGAGATTATATCAGATTATATTGAATCATTTCCTTGAAACGGCTCCAACATTTGGTGATGAACTGGACGTCACATTTAGGAAACTCTTCGTCTTTAATAAAACTTCATGTCACATCAGATTGTGATGGATACTGAGACACAGCTCACTCTCCATGTTTGTTACTCTGTGGTTTGGTTGAGCCCTTTACCTCAACATTCAGTAGAGACACAGTCGAGATTATTTACAGCCGACTCAAGTTTCTCTGACAGACTCTGTTTGTGAAAAATAGAAGACACCATCAATCATCTGGAAACACAGACCATGTTGCATATTAACATTAGATTTTGGATAAAAATAAATTCCCCTTTTCAACATCAAAGTGCTATGATATAAATACAGATGCATCTCTCTACTGGCAATAATTTGTACATTGCATCTTTGTTTCCAGATGTTTCCAGTCCATGCATATGTTCAACAAGACATTGAACCTCAGCAGCTGCTCCAGAGGTGAACTGGGAGCGCTTGGTTATTAGCTGGTTTGGATTACCTCAGTTATCATGGAACCAGAGATTGGAGAGAACTGGAGATGTCAAACTAGTCCATGGCAACCAAGAAAACTCTTGTTATATGGTTAAAAGCTCCAGAACAAGTAGTAAATGGACCCAGTGATTTATTCTCAAACTGCAGTTTTTGGGGTTAAAATTTCCAAGAGGGTTCAGTATCTGGATGTTTGAGAGGAGGTCAGCAGCTGTGACCCAGTTCAGAGGCTGAACTGGAATGAGACGGTCTGGTCTACGGAGGATTTTCGCGTTGTGTCACGTATGTTGGACCACGAAAGATGCAACAGGTGGATCTTTCGTGGTTCAGGAAAAGAAGGACACATCTGGACAGTGTCGTTGCTATGACACAGTCTGTCTTCAGATGCTTCCTCTGAAAGACGAGACCCTGAACTGGGACACAGCTCATGTGGTACATCAGCTCTCGTCTTAGTCCTCCACAGGTTAACGTGCTCTCAGTGTGACACACTCAAAGATGTTTAGTGTCATATAAAAATGTTTTGGTCCGTTAAATCACACTCATGTCCAGGAAAAAAAGACGTGTTTACAGTTACCTGTGGAGCAGTTTTACAAAATCATTCAGACTTGAAGAAGCAGGTGGACAAACACTGTAGGATGCTGGTTTACTGTGTAACATCTTGTCTCTTTTTACACTTTGTAAAACTCTTTTTACAAATGTTTAGTTTGGAGAGGAAGCGGTTAGAAGTCAGTCACTGTCAGAAACATGTCCCGTAACTCCACACGCTGAAGTAGAAACAGATGTACCAGTAGTTACAGTTGGGAAGTGTCTCCTCTCACATGGTTTTAGTGACGTTCTGTTTGCTGAGGAGGACTTCCAGCAGCCGCAGTTTAGCTTTCAGTTGTTTGTATTCCTGGTATTCTTCTTTCATGGGAGTGCGATCCTCTTTCTGGCAGATTCTGTCAGGAAACACAACACCACACACGTCAGAGCCCAGAGGAAGAAAAGATGTGAAGATTTGTTGTTTTCTGTGTGAACAAACTCAAAATGTTGTTTTTTACGGCTGATCATACATATAAAGACAATCTGAATGTGTTTACTTGACAACCACTTTACTAAAACAAGGCTACAGTCAACCAAACCCCTCACACGGTTGTGTGACATGATGTGTATTTTGAGGTTTGGCTCTCACCTTCCAGTCTGACGGTAAAACTGGTCCTCAAACTCTCTGAGAGCTTTACGCCTGTTTTTCTTCTCTGCTCTTGTCTCCCGCAGACTCTGCAGCAGCTGAGACCTGGTTCAGGTGGAAGACAGGGTGTGGATGGTGTTAATGGGGGAAAAATGAAAAACTAAAGAAAATGCTGTCTGTTGCTTCCTGTAAAGCAGCTGCACCAAGATCTGACAGAGACTTAGTTTCAAGGGAAGTAACTAAGTACTGTACTTCAGTCCAGATTACAATGTTGATGGCTTGTGATCTCTTACAAAACAGCAGTGTGTATTTGGGACTTCTTCTCATTTGACCTAAAACTCAGACTGTTCCAAAGCATAAACAAAGTGTACAAATGTATCTATGTATGATTGTACTGTATGTATATGTATCTATATAACTATGTATGTACATATATATATGTATGAATCTACATATGTATGCATGCATGTATGTATGTACAAATGTATCTGTATGTAACTATGTACTGTATGTAATGTATGAAATGTATGTATGCATTTATGAATCCATCAATGTATGCAGGAATGGATGTATCTATGTATGTAATTGTAATTGTATGTATTTATATGTTTGCCATAGTCATAAAAACGTCATAGTATAGTAAGGCATAAAAACGTTATAGTATAGTGAGGCATACTATAACTTTGTTCTGACTTTTTATGCCTTACAATACTATGATGTTTTTTGACGTTTTTCATTCCTCACTAAACTATGACTTTTTTGACATTTTTATGCCTTACTATAATATGCCTTTTTTATGCCTCACTATACTATGATGTTTTTATGCCTTAGTATACTCTGACGTTTTTATGCCTTACTATACTATGACGAGTTTCTGACTTTGAATGCCTCACTATACTATGACATTTTTATTCCTTACTATACTATGACTTTTTTATGCCTTACTATACTGTGACTTTGTTCTGGCTTTTATATGCCTTACTATAATATGACGTTTTTATGCCTCACCATACTCTGACTATTTTATGCCTTACTATACAATGACGATTTTATGCCTCACTATTATGACCTTTTTTGACGTTTTTATGCCTTAATATACAATGACGATTTTCTGACTTTTAATGCCTTACTATACTATGATGTTTTTATTCCTTACTATACTATGATGTTTTTATTCCTTACTATACTATGACGTTTTATTACTTTTTATGCCTCACTATATTATGACGTTTTCATGCCTCACTATACAATGACGTTTTTTGACGTTTTCATGCCTCACTATACTATGATGTTTTTATGCCTTACAATACTTTTATGTTTTTTTGCTTCACTATATTGTGACATTTTTATGCCTTACTATACTAAGATGTTTTTTAAGATTTTTAGTCCTTAGTATACTATGACTTTTTTCTGAATTTTAATGCCTTACTATACTATGACATTTTTATGCCTTAATATACTACGACGTTTTAATGCCTCAGTATACTATGACGTTTTTATGCCTTACTATACTATGTATTTTTTCTGTCTTTTAATGCCTTATTATACTATGACATTTTATTATTTTTGATGCCTTACTATAGTGAGGCATAAAAACGTCATTGTATAGTAAGGCATAAAAACGTCATAGTATAGTAAGGCATAAAAAGTCAGAACAAAGTTAAAGTATAGTAACGCATAAAAACGTCACGGTATAGTGAGGCATAAAAACATCATAGTATAGTGAGGCATTAAAAGTCAGAAAAAAAGTCATAGTACAGTAAGGCATAAAATCTTCATAGTATATTAAGGCATTAAAATGTCATAATATAATGAGACATTAAAAGTCAGAAAAAAGTCATAGTATAGTAAGGAATAACAAGGTCATAGTATAGTGAGACATAAAAACGTCCTAGTATAGTGTGGCATAAAATGTCAGAAAAAAGTCATAGTATAGTGAGGCATAAAAAAGTCATAGTATTGAAAGGCATAAAAAGTAATAAAAGGTCATAGTACAATAAGGCATAAAAAAGTCATAGTATAGTAAGGAATAAAAAGGTCATAGTATAGTGAGACATTAAAAGTCAGAAAAACGTCATAGTATATGAACGAATCAGAACATCATAGTATAGTAAGGCATAAAAAGTCATAGTATAGTAAGGCATAAAAAAGTCATAGTAAAGTAAGGCATAAAAAATAATAAAACGTCATAGTATAATGAGGCATAAAAATGTCATGGTATAGTAAGGCATAAAAACGTCACAGTATATTAAGGCATTAAAATGTCATAATATAGTGAGACATTAAAAGTCAGAAAAAAAGTCATAGTATAGTAAGGCATAAAAAGGTCATAGTATAGTGAGACATAAAAACGTCCTAGTATAGTAAGGCATTAAAAGTCAGAAAAACGTCATAGTATAGTAAGGCATAAAAAAGTCATAGTATAGTAAGGCATAAAAAGTAATAAAACGTCATAGTACAATAAGGCATAAAAACATCATAGTATAGTAAGGCATAAAAACGTCATGGTATAGTAAGGCATAAAAACGTAAT